TTTTTTTGGTTTTTCTCCGGTACCGGGAACCGAACTCACGACCTTGCGCTTGCCAGGCAGGCGCTTTTGCCGCTGAGCTAAATCCCCAGCCCCATGGAGGAGTATCTTGAAGCAGCACAAAATGCTTGATCTGACCCAGACTTTCTAAATTCAAATCACAGCTCTGCCTCTTCCTATTAACTAGGTAGATTTGGACAAGTTATGGTAACATATTTATACCTTAGTTTTCTCATTTGTAAACTTCTATAAAAATCTTGGAAGGATTAAGTGTACCTTATAAAACTGTTGTGAGGGGGCTGGGGATTTAGCTTAGCGGCACAGCGCCTGCCTGTCAAGCGCAAGGTCGTGAGTTCAGTTCCCAGTACCGGGGAAAAAAAACAAAAAAAAACCCAAAAAACTGTTGTGAGGATTAAATATACCTTAAAGAATTGTGAGGATTAAAGTATTGTATTTGGAAAGCCCTTAAAATAGAGCCTGTCATACAGTAAAAATCTAGTATATGTTAGCTGTGAAGATAGATTATTTAGGCTTATTAACATAAGGACTTTTCTTTGTAAACTATATACAAAAAGGTAATTCCTAAAATTACATCTAGAGGTTATTGGGTTTGTTCATTGTTCTGGAGGACTAGGCCAATTTAATTAAAACAGAATATAAAATCAGATGTTAAATATTGAAAAAAAATTCTTTGCAGATAAAATAATTGTCTATCAAAAACATAAGAAATCAACTGATGCTATTGGAAATAATTAGGAAATAAGCTGATTACAATGCATACATTTTTTAAGTCATATTTGTATGATTTTAAGAAAATAAAAGCCTCATTAAAGAAAAAGATAATACATATTGAAATGCAAAAATATTTAATACATGTGGAAGACAGTGCAAAGATTAATATGAATACATTTTATGGAAAAAGACTGGAATATTATTCAGTAAAATACTAGCATGGTTTTCTGTAGAATCTGTCATGCCAGGACTTAGTTTTACTTGACATACGTTGCTTTTCATTTTCTGCACTGGATTTATGTGTTTATAAATAAATTTAAGGTGGAAAGCTCGTCTGTTTTACTCAAATAGAGCTTCCTTATAAACTTTCCTTTAACATTGATATTTTATGCTACTTACATATTCATAATGATCTGATCTTCGCTCATGAGAAGAAAGCTAATATGTGTACTGTGGATTACATTATCACACCATATATGTTTCCAAAGTAATAGCCTAAGACCTATATTGTACCCACAACTATATCTTACAGTGTGTCTTTCTGAAAATGTATTTCACAGTAAATGGGACAGTCTAGCACACAGATTTATTAAATATTATTTGATAACTTTAGACTTGACAGTGGATAAGCATACAGAAAATATTTCTCTACATTAAGGAGATAAGTGAATTTTGTAGAACATGGCTTCTCTCAAACTTTCAGAGGAGGACTGTCTTCTGAAATCTTTTTTAATTCTGCAGTGCCTAAGAGAGACTTCTTAGCCTTAAGTAGAAGTTTAGATTCACAAGACAGGCCACACACGGTCCATCCAGTCCGCTGACAAGGACAGGAAACAGTGTGGTGTACCAGTCAGTGTTTCTTCTTCTTAGCGAGTCCTTGTCCTGGGCTTCTCTGGCCTCCTCAGTGATAACTCGAGTGCAGGGAGATGCAGTTATCCAAGGAGAGTGTGAGATCCACGCTGGCTCAGTAGCCCCCTCCCCCTCCATGCTAGCATTTCTTGTCACCAGCTCAGAGGCACAGCTCTCAGGCCCCACAGCAAACAGGCTAGGTGCCAGCCACCACTCAGGGAAGGACAGAGCTGTGGCATCCCTCGTGGCATCTAATTCCTTCATAGTCTTCCCTGTCCGTTGCGTTCTACCAGTTAGCGTCATTGTCACCATAATCAGTGTCACCGAGGAGCTGGCTGATGCTCCTTTGTCACAGGTCTAGAGGTGCCCAGATAGAAAGTTAGGCCGGGTCAGGCTTATCCTAGCAAAGGAAAGGGTGATTTTTTTCTCTTACCTTTATAGCTAATTAACCTAGAAGTCAGTTATGGTTTATAACTTCATTTCAATATTTTGAAGATTGTACAGCACGCCCTAAATAGTCTACTAGTTAGAGAGAAAATAATATATTGTTTTTCTGATTTATCTTCAGACAAAATTTGACCAAGAGGGAAATGTTACTTCCTTTGGTAAGTATCTTTACTTTATTCTAAATCATAAAAAATCAGTGAATGAGTAAACCTGGTGGCAGTTCGGACAGTTGCCATGTTACAGTTACAGTGTTTTGAGTGGAAAGCTGTGTGTCACAGGGGTATGGAATGAGGTCTCCTTTCCCATTTTTCCTTCCGTCCTAATTGGAACTGACAGTGCCTAGACTGTGCATGTTCTCTCAGAGTTTCCTTCTGGCAGGAGTCACTCTGACTCCACCTGGGAAAGTGAAGGAATATTTTTGGAGAATGGGGCCAGGGGGTAGAGGTGCCTTTTCATCCTTTTGTTTCTCTTCTGTCAGTCTTTCTTAAACTGCCCTCCACCTCATGTTCGTTCTGAAGTGTGTTTAAGGTAAAATCACGCAATACCACTGGCCCTGCAGTGGGTGATGAAAGACAGGGTAGGGTAGGGCATTGGGTGGCAGTTGCATGAAACTGCTGCTGATTGCTGTCTGTGGAAAGCTACTTTTAAAGATGAAGCCAGGTATTGCTTTACTTGTAGCTTGAGACTTCAGTTTCTGTGCTTCCAGACATGTGACCCTGTTCCTGCCATTGCTGAGATCTGAGTGTGTGTTGCTCAGTGTCTCCTTCAGAAGATTGTTCTGCTTATACCCCTGTCAGAGGTGTGGTTGAATACTACAGGAACAGATACTGCTGTTGTCGGTGTAATGTCTCGAGTTTCTGTGATCTGTTGTATTCTCTTAGGTAATAAATTTAGTTTTCAGACAGGATAATCTGGTATGAGAACTGACCTAATTTTCTCATTCTGATTTCTCCAAGGACAGAAAATTGAACTTATCTGTTCACACATTTACAATACTGAAGATGATGTAGTAAAAAAAAAAAAGTAGAAAATGCCATTGTGGCCGGGCGTGGTGGCGCGCGTCTGTAATCCCAGCACTCGGGAGGCTGAGGCAGGAGGATCGTTACGAGTTCCAGACCAGCCTGGGCTACAAAGTGAGCTCAAGGCCAGCCTAAACTGCATAGCAAGACCCTGTCTCAAAAAGACAAAAAAAAAAAAAAATAAAACAAAACAAAACAAAATGCCATTGTGTAAAATTCATGTTCAAGAAAGATGACCTGTCCTTAAAGCAAGAAATTGCTGCTGTGGGTTCCAGGGATGCATGGCTGTGGTTTGTTTTGTATTGGTTCCAAGGGCAGAAAAGTTTTACCAAGTCTAGAAAAGAGAAGGGAATAATTAATGTTAGCTGGCTATGTTTTTGAGGTAACAATGAGCACTCACTTAGCTTTTGTTTCTTATAGTAGTACAAAATTGTCCTGACGGTGCTGGGAAGAGTACTCTGCTGGAAAATCTAAATAAACTCTTGGTTTATTAGTTTAGCTCATTCTTATTTCTTTTATAGAAAGGAAAAAAACTGAGTTATACCAAGAGTTAGGTCTCCAAGCCAGAGATTTGAGGTTTCAGCATGTGATGAGCATCACAACCAGGAACAACAGGATTATCATGAGGATGGAGGTAAAGGGTTTTCTTATCATCTACAGTTCTCCACTGCAGTGTTATCAAAGGTACCTGTGGACTCTTTTGTCAGTATATAGGTGAAAAGTAATTTTAGTATAAAAATACCTGTATCGAGCACATACATTTTAGGTAGAACTCATTTTACATGGATTATATTCATATGCTCAGCAGGTATACTATTTCATGTTGGAAAGATTGTGTTCTCACTGTTTGAATTTAATCACTAATTTCTAAAATTATAAAAATATTTGTGGTATATTTTCACTTATATAATTATGTATAATTACAGTATAATCTTAGTTACCAAGAACATTTCTGGTTTTCTATATCTAGAATTAAATTTTAAAACTTCAATTTAAATTTTTATTAACACCTTTCTAAAATACATTGTGTCTACCCTTGTGTACTCAGAGAACCCCACATACACGGACGTTTCCTTAGTGACTCAGAGTTAACAGGGATATTGCTATTGTGGTGGGTGAAAGCTTAGGGTCTTACAGAAGATAAGGGTAACAGGTCTTGGTGGTATTGCCCAGCAGTGACTTGCTTTCTTCAAGACAGCTTTGATGGCAGATTTGTGTCCATTTATCTGGAATTAATAAAAATAATCATGTTGGAAGCCACCTTCTCCCAGTGCTTTTTCTCCGGAAAACCTTCACTCTTGCTATCTGTACCTAGTACCCTTCAAATAAGAATCTCTTTGACAAAGAGATAGGAGTGTGGTCAAGCAAATTTAGCAGTGTTAATGTTATAATCTAAATGGTGACTATTTGGTGTCCATAGAGCAGTCTTTCAACATTTTTATATAAAATTTTTTGTGATACATTGTTGATAAAAATGTAAAATAGAAAATATTTCTTTTTTTTGTTTTTTTTTGTTTTTGGTTTTTCTCCGGTAGCGGGAACCAAACTCAAGACCTTGCGCTTGCCAGGCAGGCGCTTTGCCGCTGAGCTAAATCCCCAGCCCCCAGAAAATATTTCTGATTACTGTGTTACTAATAGGGTAGTCACAGGCAGGCTACCTCTATTCTTCTAACAAAAGTTGCCAGTATCCAGAAAAATTTCTAAGTTCATACTGTTTTATATTGGAGCACTGAGGCTGTGTTTTATCTTTATAATGTCAAATTAGCTTAATGTGTTTTGATATTTTTAAAGGGAAACTTTTCTATTTAAACCAAACTACTTGTGACTAAAGTAAATGTTTTCTAAAAGTCTACGTAACAGCTGACTTTTAATAAAACTATCTTTGCCTTTAGTACCTGTTTTTTTCATTATTACCTAGGAAGTCTTAATAAATATGTAATTTGCATAATCCCACTTAAATTGAGAGTAAGTTAGAAATAATCAAGCCAGGCATGGTGATGCAGGCCTGTAATCCCAGCACTCTGGAGGCTGAAGCAGAAGGATCGTTGCAAGTTCAAGACCAGCCTGGGCTACAAAGTGAGCTCAAGGCCAGCCTGAACTGCATAGTGAGACCCTGTCTCCAAAAAGAGACAAAAAAAAAAAAATTAAGACTTACCTATGTTTTTAGGTTTTCTTCTTTTAAAAATATATCTTTCTTGTGTATGTGAAAACCAAATGAATATTGAATGGTTTAGTTTTAATCCAAAATAAGTAAAATGTTATTTTTCGTATAGCTCTATAATTTGTACATACATGTGTTTATGTGTATATATGGACATGTATCTTTTTCTTTTTTACAGTATTTGAAAGCTGTGATAACTCCAGAGTGTCTTCTGATACTAGATTATCGTAATTTAAACTTGGAACAATGGCTATTCCGGGAGCTTCCATCACAGTTGGCTGGAGGTGGTCAACTTGTCACATACCCTTTACCTTTTGAGTTCAGAGCTATAGAAGCACTCCTACAATATTGGGTAAGCTTGTTTTTATTTAGTTTTGTAAGTTTGTTTGGGTTTCAAATTGGGAAAACAAGTTAGTATTGTTTCAGTGGTACTTTCCCTGAAGGCATCTTCCGAGGCAGAATCATTTCTACATGTCCAAAATGAAGAAGATATCTAATTCTTAAACTTTACTACTCAATCAAATATAACTGAAGACTCTAGAGTGTATAAAATATAACATTCAATGAAGCCCATTTCAAGTTTAATAACCATATTATGGAGTGGTAACGTGAAATACTTAATATACTACATATGATAGAAATTAAGATATATATCATACTTTAAATGCATTCCATTTTATTCTCTAAACTGTACATTATGAAAATGCTTGCTTACATATGATAACTATTATGTGTCAAACCATTCTTTCACCTTCTCCTACAATCCTTTGAATTAGCTGAATGATGTCTCTGTTTGAGACCTAAACTGACATAGGAACTACACACATTCTTCTAGGCACCCATTGTTAAAGTGATAGTCATTGCATGTGTGGGGTCCTGTCACACTCCGAACACAAGTGATGAGCTGCTTTCCTGGCCCCTACCAGTCCTTCACTATCACATCTGCGCCCCATTAGTTAGGATGGTGGTGTGTGCAAGAGTTAGTACAAAGAACGCTACCCAGAGTGGGAGGGGGAGAGGAGAGCAGAGAGGACATGAGGTGAGTGGAGTAGGGTGGGGTGAACCTGGTTTTGTTTTGTTTTTGAAACAGAGTCTCACTATGTAGGTCAGGCTGGCCTCAAATTCACAGTGACCCTCCTGCCTCGGCCTCCGAAGTACTGGGATTACAGGCATGTGCCACCATGCCCAGAAGTGGGGTAAACTTGGTGTCCTTCTCTTTTGCCTACTTTGCTTAGAGATGGCCACAGTCTCTTCTAGGGTTAGCACATTCCTGCTGGCTTGAGCCACTGGTGGTACAAAAGGGTCTAATCATTTTTTCAGTCTTTTTACTAATAAAATTAATAAAAAGCTACCTGATGGAGCAGTCATACATGTAGCACTGGTGGTACAAGCTGCCCAGCAACAAGACAGACAAATCATGGCTCTGTCATGAACATGTTAAAGAGGCAACAACAAGTGAAAACAGCGGTCTGTGACAGGCTGCCAAGGATAGGTGGCTCTCAGGACAAACAGGGCACCCCATCTCTTAAAGATCAGGCAAGGGGAGAATAAATGGGCAGCTCAGCTTGTCTGCTGGGATACACATTCTTCTTGCCATTCAGTGGGGTCCCAGAAGACTTCCTTCAGAAACAACACTACACAATAAACGAGGTCAGCCATCCCCCTCAAGAAGCAGGTCTTCAAGTAAAGCAGAGCCATCCAAGCCCACCGAGATCCGAGAGCTACCCGGAGCAGGTATACCTCACAAACACCTGGACGTGACCATCACCAGCCTACTAACCACTGCCTGCGTCCAGCCTTCCTGGGCAGAGGATGTAGTGTCTCCTTTGGATACTAAAACAGTAGATCTGCCTCACTTTATCCACTCTCCTTCCCACCCTCGGTCTCCTGAACCTGGAAGCCGCTCTTCAGTATGGAAATACACAAGATATCTACAATCCATTTCCCAAATCAGAAAATCTTAGCTTCAACTATAATTGTGCTTCTGAGATAAACAGAAGCTAGAATGTATACAGTGGTACCTCAGTTCACAAACTTGATTCTTTCCAAAATCTGGTCACAACTGAGTTGGAAAGAACCAAATCAAATTCAGTAGTTGGGTTTAATCTTGACCTGATGGGGAAATTTGATTCTGTTCTCAAGTTCAGTTTGGAACCAGAATCATAGAAATAATTGAGTTTGTGAACCAAGGTACCATTTTACCACTAATTTTACTGCTTAATTTGGTAGTATGCGGTTTATCAAGTGGTTTAGAAATATTTCAGTCTTTTAACTAGTATGGCTGTATCAATGCCAAAAAGTAACCTTTTGACTTTAGACTGCATTGTGTTTACAAAGTACGTGTAAACAGATGTAAAATTTGTGTTTTAACTGTTGAAGGGGGGCTTGATTTATCTTAAAAAGTCAGTCCCCCATTCCTTTCATAATAATTGTCTGTAGAGGACTCTTCTGATAGTTTATCCCCCTCAACCAAATTTTAGCCTAATGATGACCTTACATAGTTCTTTTAACCTAGGAAATGTAGTTTTGATTCATCTATAAAAGGCATTCCAGCACTGACCCTGTTCTGACATGTTAATAGCATTTCTAGCTGTTAGAAATTTCTGTATGTAATCAGAGGATTCACTGACCCTAAGTATTCTAAAAAGGTTATTTTAATTCTTATGAAAGGTCATGTTGTTATCTAGATCAACACCCTTCAGGGGAAACTTAGCGTTTTGCAGCCACTGATCCTTGAGACATTGGAAGCTTTAGTGGATCCCAAACATTCTTCTGTAGACAGAAGCAAACTGCACATCTTACTGCAAAATGGCAAAAGGTAAATATGGGTGGTTGACCAAGTTGGGAGATAGAGACAACTATCTTAAACTTCTCTTAGTAACCTTAACAGTGAAATGTTTAGCATCAATTCCAAACAAAGTTATTGTGATTCCTCCTTGTAAAAACTACTGACTACTATTCACAATGAGATTTTTTTTTTTACCTTATGATTTACTCTCCGTGTCTTCATTGCCATATTTCACTTTAATTATTATGAAAATTATGTGTGTCACAACATTTTAAAAGAAGATGGCGTAGGTGGGAAGAGCACTTGTCTATCATGTACGTAGACCTGGTTTAATCTCTAGCACTGTAAAGAAGAATTAACATTCAAATTTTCTGAATGTTGGTGTGTTTTATCAGTTAAAAGTGAATTTTCTTGCATGGCAGGATAGTTTAGCAGTAGAGCAGTTGCTTAGCATGCCCAAGGCCCAGGTTCTTATCCCCAGCACAGTGAATGTTCTCATATTATCATAGCGTAAACTTCCAAAGCAAAACAATCTTAAATTCACAGTGTTTATATATTTCTGAGATATTAAAAGTTATGTTTGTATAACTGATTAATTTTACCAAACAGTTTACTTTTGATTTGAGGATTGAGGTTTTGTTTTTTTGTGTTTTGTTTTGTTTTGTTGAGACAGTCTCCCTATATAGTTCAGACTGGCTTTGAACTCATTAAGTAATCCAGGCTGGCCTCAAACTCATGGCAGTCCTCCTGAGTCAGCCTCCTGCATGCTGGGATTACAGGCGTGCACCAGTACACCCAGCAGGGAGTAAGTCTTAGGTTCCATGACGATTAGAATGTTTTACAAGTGAGCCTTTACCATGAGTACTAACTGGATCTACTTGATAAGATACCCTAAAAAGGCACTTTTCTTACAGCAAAATGTATTAAAGAGTTACACTATTAATCATTTTGGTGTAACTATTTTACAGTCTGTCAGAGTTAGAAACAGACATTAAAATTTTTAAAGAGTCAATTTTGGAGATCTTGGATGAAGAAGAGTTGATAGAAGAGCTCTGTCTGACGAAGTGGAATGACCCCCACATCTTGTAAGTATGCTGCTGCTTTGTTGTCCTCAGTCTGGCTCTTCCGGCTTTTCTCCCTTAGGATGGCTTTTCATAGAAAATGTAGTATGTTGGGGAGCAGAGAACATGGGCGTTTTTCTTCCCCAGCCGTCTCACGTTTTCCCTGTGCAGTGTTGCATCTGGCTTGGTTTAATGATGATACATTGAGTGCACACCGCCCTCAGCACTCAGCGGCCTTCCCCTCAGGGGACTGACCACTGCATTGGCGCGTGCGCCTGCTGAAATAGCTTGCCTAGCTACTAGAGTGGAAGAGAGGGAGAGAAATTGGCATCAAGGAGGGAAAAGGTAGGATAAAAGGAAAGGATTAGCACACTGGTATAAATTCTGTTAGTTTGGTCTAATACAAAAATGTCCATGTGTGTAAACTTTTTGTCTCTTAGAAATTTAAAAATTCTCTATTCTTCTTGTGCATACGCAAGTTAAATGTTTACATTTTAAATATAGTAGTTTGGTTTTGTTCTTTGGGGTCAGGGATATAGCTCAGCAGTGTGTGCTTTGTGGAGTGGTATCAGAAATTCATATATACAGACATCTTTGTAATGAGTGTTTCCATGGTCTGTACAGATTATGTAAACATTCTAGGAAGTTGGTTGTTTATAGCCTCATTCGGAAATACTAAGATAAAAAGCAATAGGACTAGGAGTGTAGCTCAGTGGCAGAGCACTTGCCTAGCATGCAGGAAGGATGGCGGTCTGCTTACCCTGGGTTCCAGCCAAACAGCAGAATGTAAACATGGCTGTATAATGTTTGGTCTGTAGCATTTGGGTACAGCAGCAGAAAACGTAAACACGCTCTTAATTTGCTTTGCTTAGGCTGACATATCTCGAATATGCTTCGTGATGCAAGTATTACCTACACAGTACTTCATCCTGTCATCCTCCCTATTAGTCCTGTCGATATAAAGGAGACCAAAATATATATATTTACTTCATTCATAATTTAACATTATATGTTCATGTTGAAATGGAAATACTCTTTATGTTTGTTTTTTAGTTCGGGCTTTGTTTTACCTGGTGATAGTTTTGGATTTTGGATTTTCCTGTAACGGATGGCACGCACTTACATGAATCTCTTAGATTGGACCAAAGAATGCAGTAGAGTTAACCAGTCTTTGTAATGCTGGTATCTTTGTTGTCACATTATCTGTGTAGGGGTCAGGATCAGTTCACACAGCCTGTCATAGATGGACCTTAGTCACAGAAATAGAAAAGACAAAAGGCTTATTTTTCACTGGTGGCTGAATGTTATGTACTAATTGAGGAAGTTTTGGCAGTAAATACCAGTGATGAGCCTGTTGAGGGCAAACTAACTGAATTAATTCGGAATTGTAGTGAAAAGAGCAGTGCTGGGATCGACCATGCAGAGGAGATGGAGTTGCTGCTGGAAAACTACTACCGCTTAGCTGACGACCTTTCCAACGCAGCTCGGGAGCTCAGGGTGCTGATTGACGACTCACAGAGCGTTATTTTTATCAATCTGGACAGGTAAGAATTCCTCTCATAAAACAGTAAGGATCTCCTTTATAAATGTTGAAAGGTAATAAAAGCTTTAAGGAAATGTCATTTTGAGGGAATTATACATCATAATCTGTGGCCACTACATAGAAGTGGTACCGTGAGTGGTTTGCTTGTTTTCTGAAGGTGTAGATTTAATCCACGTGGTCTCAATGAGATTGATGAATTTGCTCTGTGTGACCTGAGTTGTTCTCTCCTCCAGCCACCGGAACGTGATGATGAGGCTGAATCTACAGTTAACAATGGGAACCTTCTCTCTTTCACTCTTTGGTCTCATAGGAGTTGCTTTTGGCATGAATTTGGAATCTTCCCTTGAAGAGGTAAGAAAGTCTTAAAGTCTAAGCTGTGTGCTGTCATAGTGAGCTAAATATACACTGTGTGTCAGAATTCAGGTAACATCTTAGGCCCCATTACAACATAGATATAAATATAGCCTATATTACTTTGTTTCCCAAAACATGTAACTATATATGAGAAGTTTGATAACGTACTGCCAGACTGTGAGGCAGTGTTAGTCTTTAATTTTTATGTGTCTGGCAGTATACCTGGAAATTTGCATATTGTATTTGGCTCAGTCATCACAACTCTAAAAATAGGTAAATCATCTCTACTTTGTAGGTGGGAAAACAGGAAAAGTCACTTGTCCCAGGACACAGAGCTAGAAAATAAGAGAGTTAGGGTTTCAACTCAGAGACAGCTTTCCACCTTGCTCTCCTGCCTTCCATTTGCACAGAGCAGTGAGCTCTCGGCGTGTTTCCAGAGACTGTCTTACAGTTCAGTTTTCTGGCAGTGACCTGAATGTGCCGTTGACAGACTCTGGTGCTTGATTCTGTGTACGTCACTCCAGGGTCTACTGTCTGTTTCTGTGGCTGTCGCCCTGATCCAGTCCACATCATCTCTCATCAGGACTGCTGTATACTTTTAAAAAGTGCTCTTGTAAAACATAAATGTTACGGCACTGTTCTGTGGCTGTTAACTAGCCTTAAGATAAAATCCCTCGGTCTGCGAGGCGGTGTTCGTTTTTATTTTAATTTTTATGTGTCTGGCAGTCTGCTCCTCTGCAGCTGCAGCCACTCTGGACAGTTGCTCCAGTCTCCTCTGACATGCTGCCTCGGCACCTCCCCGCCCCTCTCGCCTTGGTCGCCTAGTTAACTCCTACTTACTGCACAGGCCTCAGCTCTTCTGTCACTTCACGACCCAGACAAGAAATATACTTCCCTTCACAAGTAATGCTACACTTCCCTCTGCACACTCTCCAAATTTGCATACTTGTTTAAAGTCTGCAAAAGATCATAAGCTCCCTGAGGCAGTCAACAGTAGTCATACTAATGCTTCTTGTGATGAAATAGAAAAGAAAGGGGGAAATACATTTGTTCATTGGTTCATTCCCTTCACAATACAAAGGCTTCTTAAAAAATAAAGTGCGCGTCTAAATAAATTTATTGCAGTAAAAAACATAACTGCCATTAATCCGCCTCAGAATACTCACCCTTGCTTCAAATACAAGTTCTTGCCTCTTTCTGAAGCAGCACTGAAGGTCTTCTTTCATGAGTTTCTCTACTAGGTGTGATCAAAACTGCAGTGACTGCCGCTGCTGAGCTTGGAAAGGCAGACCAGTGAAAACATTAGCGTGTCCTCATCCACGTTATTCACGGGACCCGGTACCGTGCACCTTTGGGCTGTCCCCAGAATCCAAATGACCATAAAAGTTACGTGTTTGGAATCAGGATAGGATATCAAGGACAACCGTGCCAGCACAACTGAAGACATAAAAGAGGACTTAAGAACTGCTTTAGTGAGTGGCAAGAATGACTGGATAAGTGTGTTTGAAGCACTATTCTGAGAAAGAATGATGGCATTGTGTCTTTTACTGTAATAAATTTTTAAAATTTAAACATCCACTGTATTTTTCCATCACACCTCCTGTGTTGCTAATGTCTGTTAAATTCTCAGCACTGCTTTAGGCCCATATAGCAGTAAGGGCCTGCTCTAATGGAGGTTACGTTATAGAGAAGGAGAGAGGTAATAAAGTACATTAAATGCTAAGTGCTACAAAGAAAAGTAGTGCAGGTAAAGGGATAGAGGTGCTAGACAGTGATACAAGTAACATTTGAGAGCGTGTGTCAAGGAAGGTGGGCTAAGGAAGTGACATTTGGGGGAAACCTGAATGAAGAGGGAAGGTGGGGAAATCTGGGAGATAGCGTTCCAAGCAGAGGGAGCCACTGTGTCAGAACAGCAGCAGTGAGCTGAGCTTCTCCACCGCAAGAAGGCCACAGAGGCTGACAGATAGTGCATGGGGAAGAGCGGCAGAAAATGAGGCCAGAGACACAAAGCTGAAATGTGACAGAAATTGGACTCCCCTGACAGGTCTCAGAGTACTGGCTCACTAAGAACATAGTCTGAAATCGCCTTCAGGCCATGTGAATAAGGTGTATATGGAACTCAGATTATTTTTGTGTTTAGAGTCCTGATGATCTATGTATATGCAAATATTCCAGTTTTGAAGACTGACTATAAACAGAAAATTCAAATTGTGTGACCTCACGATTATTTAAATTTATGTATGTGTGAACACAGACTGGAGAGAAACAGTAAAAGCAGTTACATGTGGCTTATAGGTGATTAGAAATATTTAAACCTTGAAATAACTTTACCCTCTGGTTTAATACGATTCTTGGCCTCTGGGTATTAGGTACTTGTTTTTAGTTTGCTTTAAATAACAGAGGCTTCCTTGGAACTCGGGGCAGTAACAGTTGAAGACACTGTAAGAAACCTGGCCTGTGTGATTGAAGTGAACTCTGCTCTCTTTTAGGACCACAGGGTGTTTTGGCTGATCACAGGGATCATGTTCATGGGAAGTGGCCTCATCTGGAGGCGTTTGCTTTCATTCCTTGGGAGACAACTAGAATCTCCTCTGCCTCCTAGGGTAAGATGGGTATGGTGTATAGCATTATCTCAGAGAGTTACGATCGGGGGCTCTGAAGTCACACAGGCTGGACTTCAGTTGTCACAGACTGCAACCCTGCACAAGTTACTGAACTTCTCTAACTGTCCCTCACTTTCCCTGTCAGTTAGCTCAGTACTCCTGCTTCATAGGAGGATTGGGAGAATTGGATAAGATAGTATGTGCAGCACAGTGCCTGACACAACAAATGCATGGATTTTGTCTAGAGCACTCTGGCAGGCATGGTGCATTTAGATACATGTTAGTGCCTCTGGTACAAGGTTCTGTCATAACCAAACTGAGATGTAGAAAACGTTTATAGTGCTCTCATTACAAAAGTATAGAGCTTTCTTCCTGTTTTTGATCTTTGTATTTGAAGATAGCTCCTTGGGCATAAGTACTTAAGATGTTGACCCAAGGCTTACAGTCCTTCCTTCTCTTATCATTTTACTAGTGATAATTCTTTCAAGAAAGACCCAGACTAAAATTGTTTATCCTGCTTTCTTTAGATGTCTTCTTTACCTAAAAAGACCCTTCCTGCAGACAGGATGGAAGTGAAAAACAGCCTCAGGCCAGATGGACTTGGATCAAACAGAAATATCCTAACAACCCGTTAGCAACAACTTGGTGGAGACTAAATTTCTTTTATATTTCTGATACTGATTTCTTTTATAGAGTCATACACTTGAAAAAAATCAATATTTAAATTACAGTGTCTGATAATGTTATGGCAATCGCAATACTAAGAACTAATTGCATTTCCCGAATTCTGAGTAAACAGCCAAGTGATTGTTTTATGAAAGGCCAAAAATCATATTTCATACAGACTTTAAATACTGTTTTTATAAATAGGGTGTGGGACATAGAGAATAATTTAATGCAAGAATAGATTTATATAGATTTTATTTAATTTATACATAAAGAAAAGTGCAATCTCATGCTGACCAAAGCCTCAAAGTTTTCAAACCCATTGATTCTGAGGTCAGGTACTGGCAGGTTTTAGTACAGGAAATCATAGTACAGGGCATTCAAGTGATTTCCTCACTCATTTGCTTGAAGTGCTAGCGTAATATTTCCTACCCTTAAACTCGGGAAGTTTGTGCTTTAAAAACCATCCTCGGCATAACCTTCTTTTCTTGAATTTGCCCCCATATATACATATATGGTAAGTACAAAGAGAGAAAGAGTAATCAGAATCTCGCTTTCTTTGTTTGGCTATAAAGAGAGCCTTTGGAAGTAAAGGCTGTTCTATAGCTAGTTTGTTGATTCTCTGATTTCTAAAGATTTTTAAACCATCTTGCCCAAAATGAAAATACAGATAGCTCAACTAATCTATATGTGTATACTTCAGAAGTTAACAGAAGGACAGGTAAATGTTAGAATTGTGGAACTTATTTTCACAATAAGTTTGGTTTAAAACAAATGGCTAATACGTATAAGTCTGAAAAGTGTATCTTGATTAACATCTTACCTATCAATTGTATATTTTCTGGAGGTCTGGTGCAGTCGCATCCAGAACGTTAAAGTTAAACATGCCTCCAAAAGTAGTGTGCGCTGCAGACTAGGATGACCACAACAGCCCTTACACTACAGATGCAGTAGTAGTAAGAGAATAAGACTGGGATATATAGCTCAGTAGCATAAGTGCCTGCCTGGCAAGCACAAGGTCCTGAGTTAGATTTCTGGTACCAAAAAAAAAAAAGAGAGAGAATAAGTAGCCCTGCCTTGATAGTGCTGAGGGTACCGTGTCACCCTAATATGCTGAGGAAGTTTAGGGGTCCCATTTACCAGGTGGTTTGGTGAGAGGATAAAAATGTTACTCCAGGCGCTGAAACAAGATAAAGTTATAGGTAAGGTTCCCCTCACCCTGTGTGTGGCTGTGGGAAGCCGTTAGAGGGACACTGGAGACTGACTGTAAGGATGAAACAGGTTGGACTGTTCTTAACCCTCTGGGCGCCTCCCTGTGGGTCAGGACACCCTTACGGTATGGACACTGCACTGGGAATACAGAATACCTCCCGCGCTGCAAATCCTCCTGATGATCATCAAGATCACCTTTGAGAACGTGTGGATTTTATTTCACAGGGCACCCTTCAAAGCACTGCACTGCTGTTTTTGGTCTTACCACTGTAAAGTAATAAATACTGTGATCTGTGAGGACTTGGAATCCCAGAGGACAAAGTTTAAGATCAGGCATAAGGTTGAATTTTGGTCATTTTCCTTCCTTAGTTTATGAGCTTGGGTAAAATAATTTTAATTGGTCATGTCCCATTAGTAAAAGTAATGTAACTACCTCAGTAATCTGATAAATTGAATTTACAAATGGTTTTTTAAATTCTTGAAGGTGGTTAGATCAGAAATGACTCCAAATGTCAGCTAGCTCTGCTTCCTGATTGCAGAGTATTTCTTACAGTACAGTTCTTGTGGATAATAAAACAACCAGTGCCAAATAACGCAGCACATTGGTTGTAAATTTTGAAGTAAATAGAGAACTTCAGTACTTAAAAGAAAGGTGATAAAGTGCCAGATACTGGAATATGTGAGGAAGCAAGCACTTCAAAGTGTGAACCATAATGCTCTTAATAGAGTTTGTCTCTGGCAGACTTCTGACCCAATATGGGCAGAACTGATGTCATTTTGGTATGCTGTTAGATGTGTCATGCTTCATTCTTGATAAACACAGGCTGTGAAATAACCATTAAAGGGTTTCACATTTAAAACTTACTTGTAATAAATAAATAAAAACGTACTTGTTACATGTTATTCCAACAGTTACAGTTTTTTGTTTTGGAATTGTGACATTAAAATGACAGTTTTACTAGGCATACTGGTGCACATCTGTAATGCCAGCACTCAGGAGGTGGAGGCAGGAGGATCGCTGCAAGTTTGAGGCCAGCCTGGCCACATAGTGAGTTCAAGGTCAGCCTAAACTATGTAAGGAGACCCTGTCTCCAAAAAAATAAAGTCACAGTTTGAACTCATAATTTCCTTCCATTCCTTTAGTAATAGCTACAGCAGTGATCTAAAGGAGGATGGATGGCCTGTGGCTCCCAAGGCGATGCTCCCACGCTTTGCTCCCAGTCGCGCCTCAAATCCCTCTGATCTCTGAGGTCTATGATCCAAAGGCATAAAACAGTTGCAGTCCTGAAGCCTTGAAGAAAGTTGTTAGATGTACAGATAAATAGAAAATGGAAATATAAATGTCTCATGAGATCTTAATAGGAAGGTAACCAAGGTGAACTGTTGGACATGTTCAGATTTGTATGAAAGAGAAAACCCTACAGATCTCTCCATTTTCGTTATTAAGCATTTCAGAGTCAGTGGTTACAACTACAGTTACTACTTAGTGGAATGAAAATTTTATGTACCTATTGAGATAATACGTTAGACTGTCATGTATTTTCCGTGTACCAGGTTTTTACATATTGATCATAGAGACTGACCTTCGGCAATAGAAGTGTAATTTGTTTTTGGCAGGATAATATGGCTAAATATCCTATAAACTTGGAAATGTGCTCCCATTATTACAGATTTTTAACCTTTACCTTATGCTTGCCACCTGGAATGTTCAGGCATTGAGAAAAATGCAAATTCTGCAGTCAGTAATGGTTGAGTTTAACACTTTCCCACTGGTGGTTCAGAGCCACCCAGCAGCAAGACACTCAAATTACAGCCTTGTCGTGAACATGCTAAACACGTGTCATTCAGTGAAGCACGAAAATGCTGACGCTTACATGGCAATGTCAACATGAAAGAGTGCATCCTCCTCCTCGGTACAGTACTGGTAGAAATGCACCCTCATCCTGTTCTACACTCAGATGTCCCCGCTTGCAAGTGAATAAACTAAGTAATTCCTGGTCCCCTAAAAATCCTTTTAAATAAAAATAATTCTTCATGTTGGTCAAGCAACTAGTACTTAGTACCAAGCCAGACGCTGCCTCTGTTTGCCGCCGGCCCGCGCGGAGCCCACGGCTCGCCTCCATCTGGAAACAGAAGGCACAGCTGTGCTCCTTCCTGCGCTGACCCACCTTGTGCACACATCACAGCCACAGTCCTTCTCCTTGGTTTCTGATCTAACCTTTCAGCTAGATTTCTCTTCCTCCCTCCTGCTAGCCTCTCCTCTGTCTCCAGAGACGCCGAGAGGGGATCCTGTCACTGACTCTCTTGCCTTTAGTATCATTTCACCAGCATCACAGGAAGGAGCTTCTCACAGTACAAAACAAGCAGGCTGCTGTTAACTAGCTGTCGTGCCTGTGAGATTTTAGTGTGGCTGAGACGCTGTGTGCATTCCTTCCCCTTAAAAGCCCCACACTGAGGGACTGGCCCATGAAAACGCCCTGCTGAAAACAGCCCAGAACCAGTGGGGCTGAGGGCCTCATCCCTCCTCGTGGTCCCTCATGTCCTTGGTCTCTTGGAGGTCAGACCTCTCCTGCTGCTATAGATCTGCTGGCCCAACAAATGGCCCCCTAGCACGTGGAGAGCCTCTCATGGGTGACTGAACTCCAGCAGAGCTGAGCACTCCAGCACCTGTCAGAAAGCCATCTCCACGAAAGTTTCTGAGGGCACAGGAAGTTACGTTTTAGTTTTACATTTGTCACTATATAAAACAAAATGGAATAATCCTTGTTAGAAAGGACCAGATCGCAGTGCTGTGGAGTATCCCTCACCCCACACCCTTCCCCACTGTTCCTCAGATTTTTTCTGTGTACAATGCTTTCTGTTACACTTTGATCAGAATCAGCCCTGGGGTTGGTCTGCTTCCCATCACTGAGAAAATACCCAAGTAGCTTAAAAGGAAATGTTACTGTGGTCTCAGTCTCAGAGGGTTTGTCCACGGCCATTGGCCTGTAGCTTTGGGCCTGTGATGAGGTGTACAGCATGCAGAAGCGTGTGGCGGGGAGCTGGGGTCCCAAGACACTCCTCAGGGCTCACTCCCCACAACCTGCTTCTGGCCAGGCCCAGCTCCTACCATCTGCACCACCTCTCAGCAGCACTGTCAGTGGGGGCCAAGCCTGCAACATGAACTCGAATGCTCAAGATCCACATCCTAACCGCTGGCAATGAAAAGGGGATTTTTAGGAGGTATTGGCTAGAGACTGTCCTAGGAGATGACCCCAGAGAGCCCTTCCAGGCATCAGAGAGACAGGTGTTCCGGTTCTGTGACAAACAGGTCGGAACACAAACAGTGGGCTAGGAAAGAACGACTGAGATGCAAAGGAATCAAGAAAGGAAATTTGAGAAGAGGACAAAGTAACCAGAGTGTGCTGTTTCACAAACTTCCCGTGGAGTCATTTATTTCCAGCGACTGCGAGTCTCCTTCCAGGAGCCCACCCTGGCTCCGCTGGATGTGCCAGCTTATCTGACAGAACGCTCACCCTGGCGACAACTTGGCAGGAGATGAGGGGCAGGGGAGCAAGTGGAATGAACTCTAGCTGAGGCTGTAGACATGCAGTGCCCCAGAGAGCCGGGCTCCCAAAGAACTCCTTCCAGCAGCAATGACAACTTGATTCTGTAGGGGACACAAAACAATTCCTGAGTTGTTCATAATGTCTGCTAAGTTCCTGCTGCAGTCTAGACAGCATGCTATGCTCTGGAAATACAACACAGTGCACTGGCCAGATCTCACAGTTCAAGCATAAATGCCCTCTCCCTGTTTAGCTACCACTTTCCAGACCTGCAAGAACCACAGCTGAGAAAGTTCACCTGGATCCCCTCTGGCACATAAGGAATAAAACTACAGGAATGCATGCTTATTCTAGGATCTTGGCACAATGTAGACAACCTAGGCAGAATACTAAAGACTTCCCCACAGGCTGCTTTTGTTCACACATCATCCCCACTGCTGAAACATTTTAACACCAGTCTTTCAGCGCTGCCTTTAATACCTGCTACAGGTTGTTAAACATGTTGGGTGATCTTGGCAAAATCCTCATGCTTCATGAGGTATGGGTGATCAAACTGCTTCGGTCAGAGAAAGGTGTGAGTTTCTCACTGACTTACACTTTTAACACCCGCAAAAGAGTCCAGAAATAATAATGGCTAAAATGTGTTAAGTCTTTACCATGTGTCAAGTTCTAGGCTTAGCCCTTTGTACTCTCTTTCAATACTCCAGTGTCAGTTAAGAGGGAAGATATAAATTTTCAGAAAAATTAACTAAGTAGCAATTTCTTTTTCCCTTCCCTTATGGATGTACTGACTTACTAAATGTGCTTGTACCTTGGCTATGACCTCAACTTCCTTTCCATTTCCTGGTCAAACTCTCCTCATTCCTAAAATCATACGCTCCCTAGCTGCTGCCCTCGGCCCATCTGAGTCATTTTTCTGGGCACAGCATAAGGCCTGACTACCAGCACTTCCACTGCAGGCTCTTGCTTAGCATACCTTGGCATCAGTGGGCTCACCAGCCTGTTTTATTCTTTCACCTAAACTATACGTGGGGGCCAGGTCCATGGTCCGGGTTTCTTTGCCTGCCTCTCTGGTGCTCAGTGTAACATGCTGAGCACATGCGCGTTTGTCCCTTCCCTGCCGAGGTTCACAACCCCACTGACGGCAGCATCATGACAAGGTTCCGAAATCTGAGCAGTGACAGCATTTCAGAGGTGCATGCTAAGGCCATCTAATTCACTTTGCTGCTGCCAGTTCCATACTGCTCACTTATCCCAGGAAGGAAACAGTCTTCAAATCATAACTTTCAAGTCCCAGAGAAAGACCACTCTGTTCATTCTCGGATTGTCAGTTTCCACTTTTTAAATGTAGCACCTGATTTTTCTACATTCACCCTGCTTTAGCGCCTCGCAATCTCAGGTACATACTGGGAAAGTGGAGGTATTGTAATATTGACTCAAGTGAACTATAATTAGGAAGCGTAAGTTGAAATTTTGTAGAGAAAGGAGTCAACTTCAAATTACTCTTAAGTGATCTATACCACCATACCACTCATGTCCTAAATTGGTATGACTGGCTGATACGTGTGTAGTTTTAATCTAATAAATGGATTCTTGATGATGTCCAGTTTTGGGGTTTTGCTTTTGTTTTTGTTTTTTGTGACAGGGTCTTGTTATGTAGTCCAGGCTGGTCTTGAGTTCACTGTGTTCAAGGCCCAGACTGGCCTTGAACTCAAAGTGATCCTCCTACCTCAGCTATGTTGTCTAATTTTTTGAAAATGTAAAATTTAAGTAAAAGCCAAGCTTATGATATAAAATGTTCTTTTGGAGAGGGTTCTATTTTGTTTATTGGTTTTCTAAAATACTCTTTTGAGAATCCTCCCATAGTGAAATAACCCTTTGTTGGGGTCAGGCTGTCAGTAAATGGGCCAGCTTACACTGTTAGCCACAAGAGGGCGGCTTCACCTTAAGTCTAAGAAGCAGGAACCCGGTCCCCAGCCCTTCATCCCACAGATCAGACTTAGTGGGAATAATGCTCTTTAACATTTAAGCCAATACCTGTTTCATGTTTTATTTAACTTACCCTGTGGAATCTAGTTTTTTAAGAGCAGGGACTTTGTCTTTCTTTTGCTTTTATTTCATTGCCTAGCATAGCTCTATACAATATCATATCCTAAAATGAGTGAGTAGAATTAGAACCTTAAAGCTATATTTTAAGGAAAAACTCTCTAATCTGTAATATCTTAAATTTTTAAATGTGTATACCCTTTGATTTGGCAACCCTACTTCTGCGATTGTCACCTACAAGGATATTTGCAGTTATATCAAAATATAGGTCCAAGAATGCTCACTTCAACATTGTAATTTTTTTTAAAAAAAGAGCCTAAGTATCTATGAAAACATGAACTGAAGAACTAAAATAATGGTTCTTCCAGGCAGTAAAATACTATATAGCTAGTAAAAAGAATGGGGAAGAAGTAAAATATAGTACATAAAAATGAATGTGTGTGTGTGTGTGTGTGTGTGTGTGTGTGTGTGTGTGTGTAGAGTCATAGAAAAACTCTCAAACTCTGGGAGAAAACAACAAAATATTAACAGTGGTTATTCTAGTGCAAAGGTCAGCAAACATTTTCCATTCAGGGCCAGATAATAGTTCTGTTAGGCTTTGTGGGACATGCGTCTCTGAAAGTCCCTACAGTAGGGTGGCAGCCGTAGACAGACCATGATGGTGACTGGATTCTAATAAAATGCTATCTGTGGACACTGAGATTTGAGCCTCACATAAAGTTCTTGTCACAAAACACTCTTAGAATTTTTTTTCAGTCACCTAAACACATAATGGCCACTCTAGTTCTGGCAGAACAGAAACAAGGAAGTGATGGCATTATGTATGCTTTTTTTCTTCTGCCTGGATGTTCCTTTTTTCAAATAAAACTAAAACCTAAGTAAATTTTAAAAGTGAGATCACCAAAGCCTGGCCCTAGAACAGATTCATACAAACGTCACAGAAATGAGTCCTCCTGCTCACCTTCTCCTTTGACCTCACAGAGATCAGGGAACTCCCGAACCTTGAACTTGCCTGCAAAACATGCTCTGTTAACGGGCATCAGCAAACACACCGTAATATTGTAAAAGTTGAAAACAGCAGAAAAGGGCACTTTTTTGCTCATTTTTCTTTCTTCAGCCCTTTAAACAGTACTTACTTCAGGAGAAATTACTACATATTGGGCCTAAAACAAATGGGAGAAAGAGAGACGATTAATGTTATTACTGTTCGTGAGGTTTTCAACCAATTTTAATTATACCTTCATGCTTGCATTTCAATATTTCCTGATTATCCTTACAAACATGCATGTCCTTTGATCCTGTAAATCCCATTTACAGGCACTTAGCTCCCAGAAAAAAATCAGATTATAGAAATGTATGTACGTAAATATTTACCATTATTATCCTTAACAGTGAAAGCTGGCCAAAGTGACAGATAATCATCACTTACATAACGGGTAAATAGTTTATAGACAAAAATACTAGACAGCTGACATATACATACATATATGTGATTATGCTTAGTATATACTTGATATAATTAATCTAGTATAAGGCTATCAGATAAAAGGAATCTTTTACAGTACTGGAGACTAAACCCAGGGCCTTAGTACTGAGGTACAGTGCTCGCTTCGGCAGCACTTATACTAAAAAGTACTAAGGTACATTCCAACCCTTACATCTTTTGAGACAGGGTCTCACCAAATCAGTAAGTGGCCCAGGCTCAACTTGAGCTTTTGATCTTCCTACCTCAGCTTCCTAGAGTGCAAGGATTACACGTGTGTGCCACCACACATGGCCAGAAAAAGGGCCTTGACACAGGTTGAGTATCCATTATCCAGAATGCTTGGGACTAGAAGTGTTTTAGATTTTGTATTTTTTTTTTTTTTTTCAGATTTCAGAATAGGTGAATGTACATAGTGAGATACCCTGGGATGGGACCTAAGTTTATACATGAAATGCATGTATGTTTCATGTACACTTTATACCCACAGCCTGGAGGAATTTTATACAATATTCTAATTTGTGCGTGAAACAGTTTCATGGTCTGGAATTTTCTCCTTGTAGCATCATGTTGGCATTCAAAAAATTTTAAATTTTGAAACAGATTAGGAAAGCTCAATTTACATATTTTTAAAAATCAGATTACAGAATTGTGCACAAAATCATACATAATATCACAATTGTTGATAATTATTACAATTGTATATTTCTAAGAAAAAAGTGTTCGAATTAGACCTTGGTGTAAATCTTTGGTCTGCCATTTAGCAATGGCAGATTTTCTCTGATCTTTAATTTCTTTGCCTGTAATTGGGCGTAAGAGTAATTTCCTCGCTTTGGTATGGATTACATCATATATAGTTCTTAGCATGTGCAGAGTAAATGCACAATAGACAGGAGCAGTTTCACAAAAAATACCAGGACTACTAAACACCTACTAAAGGTTAACAGGCATTAGCTCTACACAGCAGAATTTTAGGTAGGTGATTTTTAATTTTTTTTCTTTGTATATTTTTGGGCTTTCTTAAATTTTCACAAAAGCTTTCAATCATTTTGCAACTTTAAAATATTTTTTAAATTAAAAATATAGCAGTAGCCAAACATTAGAAATTCAAGGGTATATAAGTTAAGGAAACCCATCTGGGAAGAGGAATCAAGAAGCAAAAGACTGGAAGTTTTAAAGAAACTGCAGTGGCCCTAGCCTCTTTCTTCTGCTGTGGACCCCGAGGCAGACAGGGACCAACATGACACCAAGTCCAGCTGGACTTCAGATCTAGGGGCAAATGCTGCACTACAAGACCTGCAGGCTGCTGGGGTCTGCCAACTCGGGGAGCGACTGTCTCCTGACCCCATCACCCCTGAGTTCGGGCAAGGAAAGCTACTTCATCTCATAGCAGGAGGCAGAGAAGAGCCAGGGAGGGTAAGGGGCTGAGGACAGCACCCTTCAAAGTCACGCCCCCACTGCCTGCTCCCCCAGCTGGGCTCTGTCTGTCAACAGCCCCCTCAGCCATGAACTCATCCCTGGACGAAGGCATGGGAAGCCAGTGCCGGCTCAGTTCAGGCACCTCTCAGCCTTCCTCTGAACGCTGCTACACCGAGGATAAGCCCTCAATACAGGCACCCTTGGAGAACACATCATACCATCACCAGGAACCTCCGAGTGATCCCTTCCCACAGGGGAGAGAGGGGCTGGGGATTTAGCTCAGCGGCAAAAGCGCCTGCCTGGCAAGCGCAAGGTCATGAGTTCGGTTCCCGGTACCGGAGAAAAACCAAAACCAAAAAAAAACAAAAAACACAGGGGAGAGAGTTCTATAGAGCACCTTACCTTTTCTTCTGGACACGGCGTTATCCATGATTTGCATTTGCCTGTCACGTCACCAAGAGAGGTGTGTTTGCCGTTGTATATGTAAACTCGCCCATCTTCTCCCCCAAGCAGTCCAGAGGTTACATCTGTGATCCTCAGAGGGGCTGCCATGATAATTTCATCTGCAAACAAAAACTGGGAGAAGTAAGTGTCCGACTCCTCTGTCATCTTTCCCATTTGGATCCTGACCCAGCCTCCCACACATAATTAGCATTTCCTTTAAACTGTCTGCCTTGGTTTCCTCCTCACACAAAGGCCCGTTTCCATCTTGTCATTCATCCATAGCAGCTGACGTCATGATGCTTATGTTGCATCTTCAGAAGTGCACCTCTTACATATCATTTTGATCTTGCCTGGGCTGTCAACTGTGAGGGCAGAGCCTCATTCATCCAGTTAGGGGACTGGTCCATTGGGCAAAGGGACATCACTCTTGAATGAATGTGTCTCCTTACCTACACCATCATTGTCCAGGTCGCTGAGGTGCAGAACTCCGCCAAAGCGCGAGAAGCGGCGGTCCCCGCTGAAGGTGCTGAGCAGGGCAGGCTGCACATCCTGCGTCAGCGCGTACATCCGCATGTTCCCCCCTTGGTGCAGGGTCATGGTCAGGAAGGCCATCTTAGACTTGTCATCTGAAACCAGCCAAAGGACCCGCTGGCATCACAGGGGTAAGGTAAAGACAGGAACACCCTGCTCTTGCCTTGAGCTGTGAAGCTAAGGGATACAGTGCACCCAGAAGCACATAGGACCACATGGTCCATGCAGGGGAAGGTGCAAATCGCTTAGGACCGAGATGTCACACGCTCCCATCAGGCTCCTTCTTCCAGTCTTAGTGCCTTTAGCACAGTCCCCATACAGCGACTTTATTTGTACATCACAGACTGCCTGGGTCTCTCCCCTGACTTACAAGTTCAAATGGGAGTGGACTCTGAATGAAGTCCATGGTCTTCCCAAGGCCTCATCCAGCACCTACCTAAGACTGGACCACTGATTTGGGCCCCTGTCTCCTCACTACACTTTGCCCATAACAAACCTAAACTATAACCCAGTGTATTTAACTCCAGGCCTTTGGACATGATGTGCCTCTGCCGGGAGTAGGCACCTCTCCTTCCCAACCCTTTACCTCCTCAGTACAAGGCCACCACCAGCCACGCCTGCTCTGCCTCCAGAAGTTGGTTCAGTGCTCCCTCTGGAAGCCTTTCCTACCCTGCCGTCTAACACAGGTGCCACTGCCTCCGCTCCAGATCCACACTATGCCTGTGCCTTCCTCAGACCCCGTGCAGGACTGCAACAAGCCCTGCTCACTTGGGTCTTCTGCGTGATGCGGTCTATTCCACATGTGATGGGCCATGTCTGTCTCTCTGTGCATTTCACCTAGCACGTTGCCTGGAGCCACCAAAGCACTCAACACAAGTCTCTTTGTTTTTTAATGAATTGTGAACAAATTCAAAACTAGTTAGATTTTTGTCTATAATCATTTAGAACACAGCTTTGATACAAATCAGTAGTTTCTTCAGAAAAGAATAATGGCCTCTGTGGGTGGGTGGGACTGGTGGTCTGTTGGGAGCCATTGGAGTTGGTTGTTGGTCATGTGTCTGAGGGTGGGAGAGATCCAGAGTGCCTCAGGCAGTCAAGCTACCTCTGTATTGAAAAAAGTATCCTGCTTGGACAATCACAGTCTTAGTCTGAGTCTTAGTCTTAGTCTTAGTCTCAGTTGCTAGGCAACATTATGTCTCATGATACTACCTTGCAAGTGTATAAAATAAACACCCCTACTGTTGAGGTCAGTCCTCTTGCTCATCAGGCAAGAGGTAACTCCACCTGACCCTGGCTGTTGTCTCTTGTCTTTATTTTCTAAATCCTCTTGCTGTTTTCTCTCAGGGACCACAGAGAGATCACCGACTCCCACAGTAGTCCTCTGAGAGGCCTTCTATGAACAGGGTATGTGGGCAGCAGGGTTGGTGGTAACAGTCTCACACCAGGGCCTGTTCACTATTGTATGTGCAACTGATGTGACTGACTGTTAGTGGCAGATCATCCACTGGAAGAAACAGAGGGCTCAAAGCACAGTCAGGGATAATCAGAAATGACAGCAAAAAAAAAAAAAAAACCCAGGAGATAACTCGGAGTCCTTGAAAAAGCTCAGGGTTCTGAGGCTTTCTGGATAGTACAGTACCTGACCTGCCCCAACACAGTACCCCCAAGGGAACAATGTTATGAAAGTCCAATAGTTAATATTCAGATTAAAGTCCAAAGTATCAAGAAAGGCTGAAATGAGAAAAACCCTCATTGCCTTCCTTTCGTGCCTCCTGCAGCGAAGTGAAGCTCCCTGGAGTGGCAGGAACGTGGCAGTACTCAGAACTGTCTGCTTCCAGCTTCTCTCCTTCCCCAGTGAGGATTGTGAGGCCTGATGCACTACCTGCACGGTGGACAGCGCCACTGGTCCTGCTGCCTGTGGGACACAGGGCCACAGCCACCTGCCTGCCAGGCAAGGCCTTGGGTCCTCATCCCTCTGCCTCATCTGCTGGAGCCAGATTCGAATCTGCCATGCAGACCTATCCTCTTGCAGGGCTCCCACCCCATGTCTAGCTTATAAGGCAAAAATCAGAAAGCCTTCAAATGGCTGCCTGCCTCTAGAACCATCCTCCGTCCCAGCTATTGCAGTTGAAGTACTGAAGCATGTATTTTCACAGGTACAAAGATACAGGAGAAAAAAGGAATAGTGTCCCAATTGTATAATCGGATGCCAATAGTTAATACTGCATATTCCCAAATAGCTAGAAGAAAAGTTTTTCAATGCTCTGGCCACAAAGAAATGATAACTCTATAAGATGACGGATATACTAACTACCCTGATTTGTTCATTGCATAATATTATAATTGTGTCCTATAAATCTGTATAATTAGTATGTGTCAACACAAAATTAATTTAGGGCTAGGAGCATAGTAACTCAGTACAGAGCACTTGCCGAGCATGAGCAGGGCTCAGGGCTCAATCCCCAGCTTCACAAAACAAAACAAAACAGAATTAGAAGCATTTATTTTGATAACCATTTAAATGATTCAGGAATCTACTTCTCAAATGGTTTGAAATGCCAAGGGTGGAGAAGAGTTGTGATTAGCGCTCCCAAATAGCTAATAGTCTTCACGTTCTATAGAGAAGCATATAATGTAGAATAACTTCATCAAAATGCTTTTTCCAATTCTCAGAATTTAGAACAAAAGAATTCAGATACTTTAAGATTTAGCCACTGAAAATGCCTCCACCTGATATGCAAAATAAAGGATCATGATGTACCTTTTAGACAACTAAGAAAAAAATCCCACACAATGCTCTAGAATTTCTATATCTAATATTTATAAAAGTAACTCAGTAAACCCTTAATTGTTAAAAGGGCCGTATCCAGGGCCTTCATGAACTCCTGAGTCCTAGAGCCCAGTGGCACACAGAGGTCCTAGCACCACACTCACACTCTCTGGCTGAGGACCACCGTATTTCAGACCCTGACTGGGTTTTATCTGGGGAACGGTGTTTAGATTGTGTAAAGATACAAGTGTTTGAATTATTTCTTAAGTATGTTTTCTCCCAGCAGCAGCATAAAACCAGTATGGACCACTTTTAAGAAACTATTCTTTGGAAATAGAAGTGTGGGGTTTTATTGTAGCATAATTTATAACAGCAAATGTTAAACATGGCAGAAATGTGAAATGAAGCAGAATATACAATTTTATAATGTGCACAATCTTTTGCTTAGAAGTGGTCCATACTGCATCCATGAGAATTAATATGTTTAAGGTTCTTGTCATGTTGCCAAAACTCTTCCCACAAAAGGTCCACCAGTGTAACTTCACATAGTGTCTGAATGCCTTCGGTTGTGCCATCACTAAGAGTGATCCCTTTCATTCTGAGATCACCCTCTTTGCTATGCAACACCCTAAAACCCCTAACAGGGGAACTCGTTCCCCACAAAAACACTAGGCTTTCAACCCCTCAAACTGCCTGCAAGTAGAGCAAACTTCTCAAATCTGGATAAATCTGTACCTAACCACTCAGCTTCCCAAACTCACTCTACAGTGCTGTGGTGAATGCAATGATTTTCTGAGTTTTCAAAGGCACCCCGCATGTTGGAGATGGGTCCTCATTTCTACAGGACAGCCCAGCGATCCTCTCAGGGATGTCCTATCTTTGCAAAGCTGGTGTTCAGGGACAGTAGGCATCACATAACAAAGCAGTGTGGACTGGGAAGTGAGATCATGACGTCTAACTTGGCACCAGGATTGGAGATCTACAGCGCCCAAAAGGAGCTGTATGGTTAGGACACAAATACAGGGCATGTGGCCTGTGCAGCCACACACAGCACGTGTCTGGAATGCGCTGGCTTGGCACAATGTTCTCTCACCACGACACAATCTTAGTTCTTTAACAAGGAGCCCCACATTTTTAGTTTTATTTGGCACTGGGGCTCACACATTATGGAGGTGAAGTGTAATGTAAATGGAAAATTGGAGCAAAACTGGTAGATCCTATTACTGTCATTAACCCAGCTGTGAATTATTATGTTCTACATGATGTGATGCTTGGGGAAAACTGGATAAAACCTCCTTGACTCTCAAGTACTTCTTCTGACTGAATGCTAGTTTATAGTTAGCTCAAATTAAATGGTTTAATTTATATAATATATACGATATCATTTTTTATTTTATTTTATAATTACAAACAAAAATACCACAATAATAAAGGCACCAAAAGCAGGACCATTTGAGAAGCTGTAACTCCCAGCCCTCCAATAGAACAGTGAGGAAAATAAGATCAATAATGTGTGTTGCAAGAGTTCAAAAATCACTATCTAAACTGCAAAGAAAAAAAGGGGGGGAAACTATTCCAATCATAAATCAGCAAATTTTGATGCTGAGTCAGCAGTTATAATGTTGACTTTGATGCTTTAATACTGTGTCCTTTTTTTAAAAAAAAATATGGTGTCCTTAATCACTACAGTAAAATTTTTAGCCATTCCTTTGCCGGATTCACTTGTACTGATTACTCAAATCTCTGCCATGGAACTAAAATCTTTCTGACAAATATGGACAGCAATTCTACCTCCAGGAATCCATCTAAAGCACCAATCAGAAAGGTAGCTAAGGTTTTTGTACATGCATATGCAATAGTAAGGGTACAAGTGGAAACAGCCTGTATTTCCAGGTATAACATGATCCAGGCCTATGCATAAGGAAGAACATAGTATAGGTACCAAAAGTCGTACAATGAAAGGATGTGTAAAGTAAAAAATATGGCCTTAAGTTTTTACATAGCTGGGTAAGGGATGATTTTTTTTCTATATTTGGTCTGATCAAAAAAATATAGTGTATATTAAAATTTTTTAAAGCTTGCCACAGTAAAAGACACGTTGCCTTTATTCTCCCTCAACACATTCTCCTTGGTTCACCACAGTTATCCCATCATTACTGCGATTTTCTGAGGCAGCCCTCAAAATTCTCTTTTGCAAGTGTCTTTAGTTGCACTGTTGTGGCTGCCTTGATGTCTTGAATCAGTTCAAAACCTTTACCTTCCGTAGTCATTCTGACTTGGGGGAAGAGCCAGCAGTTCCACGGTGCCAGATGTGGGGAAGAAGCGGGTGTGGACACACCCCGGAAAGTTTCTACAAGCCTGCCTTTCTGCTGGATGGCACGGGGCAGCAGAAGGCACTGAACTTTTTACCACAGCTTTGTAAAGATACTCACAAAAGAGGATTCCAGAACTGTTTCAGAGAGAGACAAAAATGATGGGATACGTGTGTTCAAAAGGAGGGGGAGAATTTTTAAGAGGAAATAATGGCAATGTGTTTTACTGTAATAAATGTTTTAAATTTAAACATTCACCATATTTGTATCACCTTTGTATCTTTCCACAGGTTTCAACAATAAACATGATTTGTTTTTATATTCTAATGAGAGTTGGTTTTTATTGTGGTTTTTAAAATTTTTATTCCTATAAACAAAAGCAAAACAAAATAATGGTTTACTAAAATACATTCTCAGAATAGATCTATTCCCAGTAAACTAGTAAAATTCTTCAGCTCCAGTGTCAATGGGGTAGAAGCTATAAAAAGAGTTACTTTCAAATACCATTTCAATAAACTTTTAAAATAGATACGATAATCTCTATTATACACAGCAGAGGGTTAAGTAACTCTGAAGTTACACATCCTACTAAATCAAACAAAGAAATTTTAAACCCAGTTTTGTTTTTATTTTGTAGTACTGGGGACTGAATCACTGAACAACATCCCCAGCCCCATTTTTTATTTTGTGTTTTGAGACAAAGTCTCATTTAGCTGCTTGGGCTGAGCTCAAACTTGCAATCCTCATGCCTCAGCCTCCCAGAGTGCTGAATTTACAAGCCTGTACCACCACACCCCGCTTAAGCCCAGTGCTGTCTGGCACTGGTTTTCACACCTTTTCCACCAGTGAGACACAGCCAGAGACCCTCATGACTAGAAGAAAGCAGGTGCATGCACGTGACCTACCTCGAGTCGGGGCCCCAACCAGCAGCACTTGGGTCAAAGTCCCGTTCATCATGATGTGGCCGCTTGACAGGGAAGTGCCCAGTTTCCCCATTGCCTGTGAAATGCAACAGGTCAGTGCCGTGCAGCTGAGAATGCTTCGGGAGCGTCCACTGTCCTGGGGAGGAGGGGCTGGCGTACCTTGTCCCCAGCAATGGCAAACCCACTCTGAGAGCTGGGCGGGAAGTAGCCGTACACCTTGCCAAGGCTCTGGGCGTCCCTGTGCCTGTGAAGCGAGTGGCTTGACCTGAAAGCAGCAGGCTGAGCTCAGAGCACAGGGTACAGAGCAGCCGGGGATCCACCCCCCACAGGCCTCCCATGCACCCCATCCCCTGACGCTGTCCGGGAAGGAGGTGACCACTGGAGTTGATTCCAGAAGCATTCAGCTTCTCCAGGTCCCTCAGCCACCATTCTGCCTCACACCTGACAGCAAATATGAGGACACTGCTGTCACAGATGGAATGGTGCTGATGTCTTAAATTCCTGGACTCCAGAAGGATACTATACTTAGGGATGGGGCAAAAAAGTGACTGAGTTAAAATGAGGCCACTGGCAGGGCCCTCACACTAGCTGACTAATGTCCTTACAAGATGAGAAGAGGATACAGACAGGTACAGAGGGAAGGCACAGGTCAGGCCAAGAGAAGGCTTTAGAAGAAACCAACGCTGCCAACACCTGGATCCCCAACTTCCAGCCTCCAGAACTGGTGGACAATAAATTCCCATTTGTGATTAACCTGTGGAACTTTTCCATGGCATCCCTGGCAAACTAACATACTTACCAAGCATATTTCTCACCTACGATGGAGAAGCAGTGCTCTGCCAAACTCCACTTGTCCTTCCAAGGGCAAGAACGCCCTCACCCCTTTGCTTGTGCTCTCTCTGACTGGGTCCGCAGCAACAGGCACCACCAGCCTGTGCTCCTCAGTCCTCGGGCCCGCACCTGCCTTACCTGCTGACATTCTGCCAGGTCGGGCTCCCCACCAGCAGCAAGGTGCTATTGTTCACTGTGACGCCGTGAAGGGAGTAGCCAAACCAGGCGAAGTCCTCCTCGCCTCTTACCAGCCAGTCAGCCGCCTCCACGTTCAGCTCTCCTGAACAAGACAGCAGCCTCTTTACAGTCTGGGAGGACCATGGGCTGATGAAAAGTAAGCTCGTTCTCTGGATGGATCAGAGCATCCCAGGCAGCCTGCCTCACCAGGAGAGACTACGACAATAACCTGTTGGTCCCCCGGGATCTGGAGCGAGAAATTGGGTGACTTTTTGTACACTCACAAGATCTACCCACATCACTTACTAGACCAACTGTAAGAGACTGCTGGAACGTCCTGGTGACATTATACAGAAGGAAAAGGACATAGAAGTCTCAAGACAGAATGAGGAGCCATAGCTCTGTCCCCTCCCCCCTGGGGCTCTACCTTTGTTCCTCCAGTGGGCGCCAGAATAAAACGCAGCCACCATGCCTTTCTGCTTCCCTCCACCTGGTGCAAAAGGCGAGCCAATCACCAGGTCGGGCTCGCTGTCTCCGTTCACGTCTGTGGCCAGGAGTGTCCAGCCCAAGTTACAGTAGACATCCTGCGAGGGAACCGGGAGCACGTTCCACTCGGCCCTGGAGGCACTTGGGGTGCAGAGTTCCAGGTTCCCGCGCCTGGCCAAGGTGCTAAACATACCTGGCAGGAGATGGTGATGTCAGGGGAAGAAGACAGTCCTCCTTGTTTGGAACCAAAGTAGACATACACCGCGCCCTAGTCGAGGACAGACAGTGACAGACTGGAGTGCTTAGGTGGGGACAGCTCCCTTTAAAAGCAGAGCGCAGGCTGACTATGAAATTAACTACCACCATACCCTGAGGGCCTAACAGACCTGTCCTGTGCCCTGCTACTGGGCATTTTTAAAACTCTGTCCCTTCCATCAGAATGACAGCCCCAAAAGCAAAACCGTCACTTTTATCTCTGCCCGGCAACATCATGCTCAGGGTCGGTCAGATCACCGTGCAGTGTGTTTGCAAGGTGACTTACGCAACTCCTGTCCGCTTCAAGGCCCAGCCCACTGTCAGTTTCTTTGCCAAAGCCTCCCTGCCAGCCCATCACACCGCTGAGGATTACACCACACGTGGTATCTGTGTCATTCACTGGCCAGGGGACACACCATGCTATTTTTCTGTGGGATGAGTCTGTTCTCTTCCACCTCACCCGTCTCCATCCCCACTGATTCTACAAGCATTTGCTTTCCATCGTGTGCCACGATCTGGGCACACGGTGCAGGGCGAACCCTTCCCCGTTCTCTCCAGAGCGGGTGGACAGCTGACTGTGATGCAGCTATGGTGAGTACAAATGGGACAGGATGTTATGCAAGCACCAGGAAGCATCAATTGGTCCTGCCCGGCAGTTACATAACACCGCCTCCAAAGAGGGATCAAAGGAAGCTGGTCAAGCAAAGCTTCTGCAGTAAGAGTCTGCCAGGTGAGCTCAGGCAGTAACATGAGTTTCTGGAAGTTGGATCTGGGAAGGACCAGCCTGGGAGGGTGAGTAACAGACCAAAGGCCTTCGATCTCCCAGATCACACAGCACCCATGATGTGAAGAACAAGTGGGAAAACAGCCCACGGGCAGTGCCCAGGATCTTGGCTCTTGGTAAGAAAACTGGCAGCAGGCAGTTCTGGGCATGAACGGCCAGGCCGCAGGGGATTCCTGCTGTGACAACAGGAAGCCACACATCAGCTGCCCTTTGTCTCCCATGCTAGCTTTCACGCTGGGGCAGTGCTGAAAGAAAGACTGAAGTACCTGGCTGAAGTAAGACCGGGGAGGCAGGGACAGATGCCATGTGGTAACCCGAGGTCACTCAGGAGCCACCTGGGGATCTGAGCTGGGTTGGCACATGGAGGGCGTCTGCCCTGCTCCAGGACTCTCCCCGCAGGACACCCCTCACACCCCACTTCCCCTGACCCTCCGGCCTTACTGTGTATGTGAGCTGCTCAGAGCCCACCGAGGGCGCTCCCACAGCCAGGTCAGGCACCCCGTCCTTGTTAAAGTCCAGCACAGCCACGGCCGAGCCAAAGCGACCTGAGGGCTGAAGAGACACAGGTTACACCCTGGGCTCAGCCCCAGCCTAGGTGGAACTCTCAGACTCCCCAAGGAGAGACACTGGATGCTGCCCACCAGCAGGTGTGAGGGCCCCCAACCTCCCGGCCTGTCACACAGCTGTGACAGCAACAGAGCAGCTTTGCCCTGGGGGTTGGTGGCACGTCTATCCACCTTGAGGGGATACCAGGGGGCCAGAAAGCAGACGAGTCCATTTATAGTTCCAGGTTAGCAGAAGATGGGTCTCATGTGCTTTCTATCATAGAGCAAAACACCAGATTCCCTTCAAGCATCACATACACCAGCAGCTGACGTGGGTTGAATATTTGGTATGTTTTAGAGCCACGCTGCCCAGCGCAGTAGCTGCTAGCTAAATATGGCTATTCGAGATAATCGGCATTAAATAGTTAAAAATTCAGTTCTTCAGCCATATTGGCCACACCTCAGATGCTCAGAAGCCTGCACTTAGTGGCTCCCAGACAGGATGCCACAGTTCTAGAACATTCCACATAGGAAGTTTATTCCTGTGACACAGGAAGTTCATTCTAGCCACACAGGAAGTTCTGCAAATGCACTAGAGTACACTGCACTACGCACTTGATGGAGATTAAGGTGGGAACTGTCTCCATCCCCACTTGGTTTACAGATGAAAAATTAACTCTCTTCAGTGACAGTGTTCCTTCTAATTGGATTTCCTATACTTTCTTTGCACTGTCTAAAATCCTTGTAGGCCTAAAATTAACTCATCAGTTCTCCAGTTCTTACACAACTTATCCCGCAAGAGTGTCTTGCACAGTGATGCCTGTCACACTGCCAGTGTCCCAGTGCCCCATCTGTGACTGATGAGGTCATTTCTCACACTGCCAGTGGCACCCGGGAATACACTTTTTGACGAGGTGAGAACCTGATAGACTTGAAGACTGCTGGGTGGGGACCTCTGGGAACAGTGCCTTTCGTCACCTGCAGCAGTGCTGTCAGCACCTGCCTGCCTGCCTGAGTAGCAGGAAGGGTTTGAGCAGGCAAGGCCTTGGGGTGTCCAGCCCTCCTCTGAGGGCCAGAGCACAGGCTCACAGCACCCTAGGTCCATGCCTCCATCATGTCACCAAGGTTAACACAGAAGGACAGGAAGCAGCACCCCACATCTGTAGGAGCTCGGGGGCCACACTCTGCAGTGGTCTGGCGGGAGGGAGGCATGGTGGGGCAGGAAAAGTAACAGGAACAGGCTCGTTTATTTTGGAAATCTTTCATGTAGCGTCAAGAGGCTCCAGAACAAAGGATAGCCTGTGGAACCATGGGACCTGCCCTGGCCAGCCCAATTTATTTACACACCTTGGACCTGGGGCTCCTCTTCTTAAGAGCCTGAACTAGATCATAAACCACTGGATTCTTGGCTTTTTAAAAGTATGCCCAGGTGTGACATCTTACATTCTCTTCACAGAATTAACTACAAAAGGAGAAGCATCTTGCCCAGGTACAGAACAGCAGTCTAATTCCAAGTCCAGGCTTCCTGCCCCAGCTGTGAGAGGGTGCTCACTATGCCCACACCCAGCCTGCGTCTCCAAAGGCCCGTCCTCGTCAGTGACTGGCAGCTCGCTCTGCCTACCACTCGGCACAGGAGAAGACTGAGGCCCTGGTAAACTCTCTGGGCCCAGCCATCACAGAGGAATTAGGGCTCAAGTCCATGAGGAATAGTGTACCTGGACAGCTACTGTGAGTTTCTTTGGTGATGAATAAGCACTCAAAGCAAAGGAGTGACATCTGCCCAAGGCCACATCCAAGGTGGGTGTTTCATTTTCCCACATTGATTCCATAATGATGTAAGGTGTTAACACAGGGGAATTGGGCAGGGATCTATGGGAACTCTTTGCTTTGTCTCTATACTTTTCTGTGCATCTCAAATTCTTAGAAAGTTACACATATGTCTTATATAATCAAGAAATCACATCCTAACTGGCTGCCCAAGCAATTCTAAGACATGGCTTAGGAAGCCATGAAATACTTAAAGGACACATGAACTAAATGACATGAATGTGATTTTAAAGATTTAAAAATTGCCACGCAATCATAGGCCACCAACTGTTTTCCTGTCACAATTTGATTATCCCGGGGAATTTGCCATGGTACACAGGCAGTGGCTTCTTACTCCCTAGAAGAGAAGGATGGATTGGGCCTCACCTGGGAGCCCTCCAGGACTGCATGCACCTCCTCATCCAGGTCCAGGTCGATGGGAGGCAGGCCCTCATCACTGCCGTAGATCAGGTACACACGCCCGACCTGGAAGTGGCCAGGGCGGCTATAGCCTGGTGCGCCCACCACAAGGTCACCGTGCCCATCTTGGTTGAGGTCTGCTGAAGCCATGGCCCTTCGGGAAGAGAAGGACTTGTGCGGTCACCACTGACCAAGGCAGTGAAACCGGCTGCCGCCTCTTTGTGCTCTAGGACCCACCATTTAGTTTTCTCCTACTGATTGCCCAGCCTTCAGGATGATGGTGATGTCCCTGAGGAGGCTGTACTGTCTGTGTGACACACCATCTCACTCTGAGGGGGAAGCCAGACACATCGCAGCCTCTGGGCATCTCAGGACCTCATAACCTCACAAAGCATCACATCTCCTGGGCTCCCTGAGTTCGGAGGACAATCGAACCCCATGCAGCTGCCAGCTTTTTGATCTGCTCAGCTCATGTCAGTGTCATGCATTAAAGAGGAGCCTGCATTTATTTCCACCAGACCTACACAGGGCACCTTTTCCCAAGTTAAACTGAGAACCCAGCATATTTAGTGAATGCGTCCAAATGGGATTCATGACCCAGCAGTTTACAGAGACGGACAACCAGAGCCAGAGGTTCAAAGGGCACTATCAGGGCTGGAAAGTCCAAAAGCCATGTGTGTATTCTAGCCCCATGGAGAACCCTTGGCGGAGCCATGCAGTTCCTGGCTCCCTGATGCTCCGTGCTGGTCTGCAGCGGCTCTGGACAGCTGCCTACATGGCCGCAAGCCCTGCAGCAGGCCTTCTTTAGCTCTTTCAGGAAGTTGGCCATGAACCATCACTGGTAAGTGCATGGCAGGAGAGGGACAGGGTTCACCCCTCAGCCTCCTGTGCCAGAGCTGAATGCATCAGAGACCCAAAAAGGAAGGACTGTCAGTGAGCTGCTCCAAGAAATGCATGTCATCTAGATTTAAGGAATGTGGTTTTAATAAAGAGATATCAAATGCTCCAGAAAACAGTCATTTTTGTATACTTGGGCCAAGTTTTAGATAAATTTTAAAATCAGAGGAATCTCTTAACAATCTCTTTCTAAAATTATGGTGTAATCAAATCACTATTATAGCCCCCTGCTTACATTCTTCTAATGTCATCAGATTGCAAAAACAAAATCTGTAAGAATATATCCCCAAGACCACTGTAGCTTTACAAATACTATGTAAAAATAAAACTTTATCATAACTACTTAGCAAAATGAAAGCTCCTTGTATTTAAATATATTTGACCAATTTTAAAATGATCACTTCATCTTTAAAATAGCCTGCCAGGTATGGTGGCGTATGCCTGTAATCCCAGCACTCGGGAGGCTGAAGCAAGAGGATCACTGCAAGTTCAAGATCAGCCTGGGCTACAAAGTGAGCTCAAGGCCAGCCTGAACTGCATAGTGAGACCTGTCTCAAAAAGACTAACTAACTAACTAACTAACTAAATAAATAAATAAATAAATAAATAATAAAATAAAATAAAATAGAATATCCACTACATTATTTTTCTGATGATGAACCGATTGGAAAATAAGGTAGTAAGATATGCTATTTGTGGATAAGTGAATGAGATATGGGTGGAAACATTCCCAAGGCACATAAACTTGTACTTACCAACCAAGTCTAGCATAGGGCCGGGACAGGAAGTAAGATGCTGCAGGCGTGGAGACATGCTTTAGGGAATGCTGGGAGCTGCCCATAAACATGGTCCGTAGGTTCCTTTCCAAATTCTGGTACAGAAAGGTTACGGAATCCTGAAATAAGAGTTATCACGGACAGGTAAAGACATAGCATAATCAGCAAAAGCTACTGAACCTTTGTAAAGGAAATGGGTTTTCACAAGTTTAAAGAATAAAACATTGATTCTATCAATAAGCAAGGTCACAGATGGCAGGCAATGAGAGGGACATCACGCCCCTGACCCCATGGTTTGCTGAGGGAGAGTAGAGATAGAGCCCAGCGGGCAAGGCTGGCATGGGAAAGGTTATCCAGGACATAGTACTACAAACCAAGTCAGGATGGTCTCCCCTGATTTGTAGAATCTAACTGAATGAAACAATCTTTATGGACTAACGTTTGAGAAATAAGTTTGCACCATGGGGAGCCATAATGGTGTTTGTGTATATGTACTTGGTTTTCTCCAAACAAATCAACTAGACCATCACGAGGATGCCAGAAACATCCTGTAAACCACACACATATTGAGGTGCCACTGCTCATGGTTTGAATGTCCAGCAACAGGTGGCACAGAGGCCACATGCACGGCCAGAAGCTGTGCGCTAGAGGAATGCGGGTGGCATGAGCCCCTCAGCTTGGTGTGCCGAATCATCCTTAATGTGCTTGCTGCAGTCTGCAGTCTGCAATGTGCTCTGCAGTCTAGAGCACGCTGGCCACGTACTAGATCCATCCAAGCTAAGAGGATGTGACCCTAATCCACCCACAGGTAACACAGGACATAACAAGACCCAGGCCTGGCCCACAGCAGAGCAGAATCCCTGTAGCATTTGAGTTCTTGATGATGGCCATTCTTTCTGGAGTAAGACGGACTCTCAGCTGCTGGGCGTGGTGGTACACACCTGTAATCCCAGCATTCAAGAGGCTGAGGCAGGAGGATCATTGCAACTTTGAGGCCAGCCTGAGCTGCAGAGTGAGCTTGAGGCCAGCCTGAACTGCATAGCAAGACCTTGTCTCAAAAAGAAAAGAAGCAAGAGAGAGAGAGAGAGAGAGAGAGAGAGAGAGAGAGAGAGAGAGAGA